CTCGCTCGCTCAAGCCAAGGCTGCGTCTGAGCAAAACCTGAAGACACGAAAAGCTCGCTCGAGCGTACAAACCCTCGCTCGAGCGAAGAAGCAACATCACAAGGCTCGCTCGAGCGACAAAGTCCTGGCTCGAGCGAAGAGGCTAAAAACTGGACAGCAACCATATGCTTCCAATCACAACCAACCTGAAATGAACCTGCCCCAAACATCCTATAATTCAAATACAAAGTATTGAAGGACGAAAACAAGTTAAATACAACAACCCACATCTACGAAACCAAGTCCGGAATACAATACTCAATTGAGGGAAAACCGGGATCATTATAATGGCAAACTTAACCATGTCCATTAGGTTATTGATGGTCCATCCCTACAGTCATCCTTGCTTTCCACTGGTTCTATTACTTTTCCAGTTGATTCACATAAGACAGTCACTACTTAGATTAGTGAGCTTACCACTTTTGTCCATTCTCTCCGGCCTAGTCTACTTTCATCCTTTACAGTTATTATGGCTAGTTCAGGTAATATTGCATGTGTGGCTAAGTCCGCTCAGCCTTGGCTCCTAGACTCTGGTGCTAGTTCCCATGTTTCTGGTAATTCCTCTCTTTTTGATACTCTTAGACCAATTGATCATACCATTATACTTGCTGATGGATCTTGTCGACCTATCTATGGTCAATGTCCTCTTCATCCCACTTCATCCCTTTCCTTACCCTCTGGTCTTTATGTTCCTAAGTTTCCATTTAATTTGATTTCTGTTAGCTAATTGACTCAAGCTCTTCATTGTTCAATAACATTTTCTCCTACTTCATCTATTTTGCAGGACCTCTAGACCAAGAGGATGATTGGTTCGGGGCATGAGAAGGACAGCTTGTACTTTTTGGACACTAAGACCTCTCCTCATCCTTCATCTGCTGTGTTGAGTGCTACTGTATCTCCTTTTCAATGGCATTTTCGCTTGGCCAAGCTCAAGTTAGTTGTTCCAGGTTTGAGTCATGTTTCTCAGATTGAATGTGAAGCCTGTCAATTTGGGAAGCATCATTGTAGTTCTTTTCCTAGTCGTAGTGTTAGTCATGTGTCTGAGTCGTTTACTCTTGTCCATACAGCTATTTGGGGTCCTTCTAGAACTCCTACTGTTAATGGTTTCTTTTATTTTGTTATTTTTGTAGATGATTACTCTCGGATGACTTGGTTGTTTTTAATGAAACAAAGATCTGATTTACCTTCCATCGTCTCTAAGTTTTATAATGAAATCTTTACTCAATTTGGCAAGCTTATTAAGATATTTCGGGCTGATAATGCCTTAGAATATGTGCAATCTATTGTAACTACCTTTTGTGATACCCATGGTATTATCCATCAAACTAGTTGTTCTCATACATCCCCTTAAAATGGTGTTGCAGAGCAAAAACATTGCCATTTGTTAGATGTTACTCGTACACTAATGTTTCATATGCATGTCCCCAAACAATTTTGGGGCGATGCAGTTCTCACCGCTTGTTTGCTTATCAATAGCATGCCCTCTAGTGTTGTCCACCAATCTCCTTATTCTTTGTTATATCCCACAACATCTCCTTTTTCCTTGCCTTCTCGCACTTTTGGTTGTGTGGCCTTTGTCCATGTTCTTGACCCTAGTTTGGATAAGTTATCTCCTAGAGCACGCAAGTGTGTGTTCTTAGGCTATTCTTGCACTTAGAAAAGGTATCGTTGTTATCATCTTGAGTCATGTCGCTACTTTGTCGGTGCTGATGTTATTTTTTTCGAGTCTACTCCATTTTTTTTTTCCTCTGGGCAACAGTTATCCACTGATCTTCTCTCTTATTGTTCCTGGGAGCCAGCCTCTCTCACTCCTACTCTTCCTATTTATGCTCCTTCTACATCCACCCCTATATCTGCTACCTCTCCTCTCACTTCTACCCCTCCTTTGCAGGTTTATCACTGATTTCAAGCTCGTCGTATTGTATCTTATGGTCTAACCAGTTCATCTCCTTCGTTTGAGATCCCTGTTCCACCTGCTGATATGCCATCGGATGACCTTTTTATTGCACTCCGCAAAGGTAAACGAACTTGCACTCAACATTCTATTGCTAATTTCGTTTCTTGTGATCATCTCTCTCCTAGTCTTCACTCTTTTGCTTGTAGCTTGTCTAGTATTTCCATTCCCCGCTCTTATCAGTATGCTATGTCTATCTCCGGTTAGAAGCATGCCATGGATAAGGAAATGCATGCTCTTCGTCAGAATCAAACGTGAGAACTTACCCCTTTGCTGTCTAGCAAATCTATTGTGGGTTGTCGTTGGATTTATACTGTTAAGTATCTTCCTGATGGAACTGTTGTGCGACTTAAGGCTCGCCTGGTAGCTAAAGGCTACACCCAGACCTATGGTGTTGATTACTTGGAGACCTTCTCTCCTGTGGCTCATCTTAACTCTATTCGGATTCTTCTCTCTGTTACAGTAATAAGTCTTGGCCTTTATACCAACTTGATATCAAGAATGCATTTCTTCATGGTGATCTCCAAAAGGAGGTCTATATGGATCTGCCCCTGGCTATGTTGTTCCCAGCCAAGAGCATCTTGTTTGCTGATTGCAGAAGGCCTTGTATGGTCTTAAGCAGTCCCCTCGTGCCTGGTTTAATCGCCTTAGTGCTGTTGTGCTTGCCTATGGATTTCACTATTCTACCTTTGATCACTCTGTTTTTATTCACCACTCATCTACTGGGAGTATTGTTCTTATTGTCCATGTGGATGACATCATCATTTCAGGGAGTGACTCCAATGGTATTGCTGATTTGAAGCAGTATTTGGGACAACAATTTCACACCAAAGACTTGGGCCATCTTCGGTGTTTTCTTGGGATTAAAGTTGCCCGCTTTTCTCAGGGCTTGTTTCTTTCTCAACGGAAGTATGTTCTTGATTTTCTTACTGAGACTGGCCTCTTAGGCACTTGCCCCAGTAATACCTCCATGGTTTCTAGTGTCAAGCTTGACGGTGACACTGGAGACTTATTTCCCGATATTGGTCGTTATCGTTGGTTGGTTGGGAAGTTGATCTATCTCACTGTCACTTGTCCCGATATTACCTATGCCGTGGGTGTGGTTAGTCAGTTCATGCATGCTCCCCGCCAACCCCATTTTGTGGCTGTATGTCGTATCTTGCAATACTTGAAGAGTGCTCCAAGTCGGGGTTTGCTCTATCGTCCATCTTCCTCTTTGTCTGTCGCTGGCTTTAGTGATGTTGATTGGGCTGGTAATAAGACTGACCGACGTTCCACCTCGGGCTGTTGTACTTTTGCTGGTGGTGATCTTGTTACTTGGCGTAGCAAGAAACAGCTGTTGTTGCTCGTTCTAGTGCCGAGGCTGAGTATCGTGCCATGGCTCATACTACTTCTGAGATGCTTTGGGTTCAGTCTCTTCTCCAAGATTTTGGTTTTTCTGTTCCTACTCCTATGAGCATGTCTTGTGACAATCAAGCTACTATCTTCATTGCCAATAATCCCGTGTTTCAGAACGCCCCAAACATATAGAAGTTGATTGCCATTTTATTTGTGATCTCTTACTCCGCAAGCAACTTGTAACTCCTTATGTTCGTTCTGCAGATCAATTGGGTGATATTCTAACCAAGCCGTTGGCTCGGTCTTTGTTTCATCGTTTATCCGTCAAGCTGGGCATGTTCAATCTCTATGCTCTAGCTTGAGGGGGAGTATTAGAATACTTATTATTGTTCTTTTGTTCTCTTGTTAATATTTACATAAGTTGAGAATATGATGGTCATATTGCTATGTTAGGGTTTGCATATATATATTTGGCTGATGTAAAGTTGAGAAACAATGATTATTCAATATATATATAATTACTCTTTATTCTTCTTCTTCTTCCTCCTAAATCCCAACCCTAAATTCCTTCATTTTACAATCTAACTGTTTAGATAAATCTTGATGAATTGTCTTTTGCTTCTCATATTTTTCCTTTCTCATATGTGTAACTTTCTTGTAAATTGTAACAGACACTAGTTGACAAACTCTGGAATTTTTCTGATTGTTATATAGTGCAATGCACCCAAGTGGATGAGTGTGTTGAATGGAATATTTGGTCAGAAGCATAAGATTTAGGGATTCCTGAGGATGATGAATTCTATTATGTAGCTAAAATGAAATGTAAATGGGGTTTTGAGGAAGGATAGTGAAGGACACCAATGGTTATGGGACCCACTCATCTTAACAATAAATGAGGCATGAGATGTGCTATTTGAATTTGCAATGGTAATGGGTCATTTTTGTAACCTTCAAATTGATAGAGGATGTCCATGTGATATCTGCCAACTCAGATAGAGCATGTCATAGTCTCTAAAGTGCCAATATTGCCTGCTTCAGAAGAGAAAGGTATTTACTAGGTAAAAGCTTGATAACACTGGCCTAATATTGCCTGCCAATATTTACTTCCTCGGGGAGAAACGGGGACGAGGATGGGCCAGGTCCGGAGCTATGAAAGCCATCCCCGTCCCCGGCCTGAAACTAATCGGGGATTTAATTTCAAATACCATCCCCGTCCCCACGGGGGTATTTTTCGGGGAAAAACCATTCTGATCGGGGTCAGGGGGTCGGGTCAGGCATGAGATGTGTTATTTGAATTTGCAATGGTAACGGGTCATTTTTGTAACCTTCAAATTGATAGAGGATGTCCATGTGATATCTGCCAACTTAGATAGAGCATGTCATAGTCTCTAAAGTACCAATATTGCCTGCTTCAGAAGAGAAAGGTATTTACTAGGTGATGTGCATTTGTGTGTGTGTGTGTGTGTGTGTGTGTGAGAGAGAGAGAGAGAAACAGAGAGAGAGATGCAAGAGAGAGATGCACAATTGGCAATACATCGCAAGAGAGAAGTTTTAAAGGACATGATTTGGTTCCCAATTCGTCACAATTTAGCTTTTTGAAGTTTTCATTCCAAATTTTTTATGCAATTTTTTTTTAAAATTTTTTTTATTTGTGCGTGTGTGGCTATAGGAAGCCTGTCCATCCCATGTTGCATCAGCAGCCACGCTTTCGGTTGCATTTATGGAAGCTCTTAGTGCAGTCTTCCAAATTTTCAGCCACGGCTACAAGTAAGTTTCTCTCAATACTGAACTTATTCACCTTCAGAATGTGTCAGAACTATTTTTCTGAACGTGATGTATTATATTCTTGCCCCAGTACACCTTCTAAGATGGCATATATCATAAATTACTTGCTTTATTCTGCTGGAAGTGTATACTCCTTACTCTTTCTATAAAGGTGCCAGTACTTTATTGCCAGCTATACTTTTTCCGTGAAGATAGCATAATCACATTGTCAATAAAAGGGATAGCTTCCTGCCTAACTGTTGGGCTGCTAACGTACTGACCTCGAGTGTAGTACCAATATCTTTATCTAGCTACTACAAAGGCCACCTCACCCCTCCTAGAATTGGGAGTGTAACACTAGTCGCATTTCCATTATAATTAACTAGTTTTCAAATGTTTGAATTGCAGTTCAGAGGACGTCTCCGGCTTTTTCGTGTCTCTACTTTTTGGTCTTGGGCCGTTGCTCGGTGGCGTTGTTCTTGTTGCATCTTCTCTTGCTTTTCAGCTTCAGCATGCTCTTCTTACTGGTGTAGCCTCTGGCATTGCCTTTGTTCTTGCTGCCTGGCGACCATCACAGATACTTTTTTCTTTGAAGATGGGGTTTTTCCCCCTTTTGTTACTGCTTGCATTGGGATCTGCATTTTCTTATATTGCAATTACAACCACTTTGAAGCTGACAGTTCAAAAAAAAAACATCGGCTGATACCTTATCTGCAGTAACAGGCTTCTCCATGAGTGCCCTTAGTCTTCAGTCGTTCTTGTCATGCGTTGCAGTTGCTTTTCATGCTCTGGTGGAGGGGTTTACATTAGGAGTGGCTGCCCCTAAAGCTTATGGGCTTGGACGTCACATGGTCCTTCCGGTCTCTCGGTACGGACTTCCTCGGGGTGCTGCCGTAGCCAGCTGCATCTTTGGGGCAACTGACAGCTGGTATGGACCCCTTGTAGGCGCTGCAGTGATTGGGTCTGTGGGGCCATTATCTGCAATTGGAGCAATACTCGCAGGAATTGATTACAGTGGTTTGGACCATTTGATGGTGTTTGCATGTGGGGGATTAATCCCATGTTTTGGGAGCATTGTTAGGAGAGCAGTGAGGTTAGATACTGATGATGCTATCCGTACCGGGTGGATGGGTCGGGCTAGTCCAGGTTTTTCAAGTTCCGGTTTAGGGCGATGGTTCTGTCAAATGACCTGCATGCAAGTCCAAAGGGGAACGGGGCAGTCCCCCAATGAACCCTCCGGTGTGAGAATTAGTAGAGGAAGAAGGAAATGTGGAGAGGGAGAGATGGAGAGATAAAAAGCTTAACCTTCCTTTTGCCTTGCTATTCTTGCTTATATCCTTTGGTAATCATTTCATTGTCCCTTGTGACGTGCCCCCTTCCGCCGAAAGCCTGTGCCGTAGCTTACCTTGTTCAGGGTGAAGGGGCTCTGTTCCGACGGGGAGGTGTTGTCGTAATAAATGCTGTGATGGGATGCATTAATGGTGATGTGTTGTGGTAATAACTCTGCAGATCTTTGTCTGCTGATGTGGCCCGTGTTCCACCTGCCATGTGCCCGAATGCCATTGGCCCCCCATGCCTAGATGGCCTCCAGCTGTCCTGGGCTTTGCCAACCGGGTTATGCTATTGGTCCTATGCGATGGGTTCGGGGTGGTTTGCTGTGGGCCGTATGCCTCGTGGGCCTATCCATGTCAGTAGTCCCCTATTTTCGAGTGCAGCTTTAGTCCAACGAAGGGAATAGCAATAAGGAAGGGAAGTTCGAAACGAGTGGAGAGGTCTATTGGAAGCCGTGCCGATCACAAGGGTGACCGAACGGGAGAAGCTGACCGTGAGGGTGAGAGGGGTCAACCGTGAGGCGTGCCGACCGTGAGGGTGGCCGAGCGAGAGGGGTCGACCAAGAGGCGTGCCGACCGCGAGGGTGGTTGAACGGGAGGGGTCGACCGAAAGGTGTGCCGACCGCGAGGGTGGCCGAGCGGGGGGGGCGACCGAGAGGCGTGCCGACCAGGACGGCGCGGGGCTCAAAAAGAGAGGGGGAGGGTGGGGCCATGTGATGATTTGAAATGGAAAGGACAGGAGAAGGGGAGGGGACAGTGCATCGTGCCCATACACGTGGTAATATCGTGGGAAAGTGAAGCGTTGGAGCAGAAATGAAACGATAGGTCACGAGGGGGGTTTTGAAAAGGCGATTTTTGGCGGTTGATTTGAAAGCTTTTGAAATGAGCGAAAATTAATGTGGATCCATGGAATACGGGTAAACCGTGGGTGTTTGGTATAATGCGTTTCACCTACCGTGTTATAAAACTCAAAATATCCAAGTGTTAATTCCTTCACTGCGTACGACACACCTGTGTAGCACTCTCTCAACTCCCCTGCTCCTGCGTCAGAAGTGATTTGCAAGCAAACCCTAGAAATGGCACAAGAAGAAGTAGTGAATGTGAGGGTGGACCTGCTGGGGGATGATGATGCGGAGGAGTTAGCAGCGCGATACAGGATGGAGACACGGGTGGTGGGGGCGGAGGTGGGTGAATCGCAGGCGTCGGCCCTGATATTGGCTCCAAAGCCGCTAAGCCAGGTAGAGCCAGATCAGTGGCACACTAAGGCGGACAAATCCACACTCACGGCAGGGGATTTGGCGGTTATCAGGGAACGATACTAGATTCCGGCGGAGGTAGAGTTACTGCTGCCAACATCAAGGGAAAGGCCGTCTACTGCGAGGCCAGGGGAGTTTTCCCTGTACGAGGAGGCGCTAAAAGGTGGGCTGAGGTTGCCACTACCTCAAGTGGTGGTTGACGTGCTGAATCGCCTGGAGGTAGCGCCGGGGCAATTGATGTCCAATGCATGGAAGATTCTACTGGCCTGTGCGAGTGCGTGGCCTAAGGCGAATGGGGGGGAGGCCATGACGGTAGACAAGTTCTTTTCATGTTACAAGGCGTCGGGGCAGCAGGAAACTTGGGTCACTCTACAGGCGGTGATGGGGAGGGGATTGGTGGCGGGGCTGCCTACGTCGATCAAGGGGTGGCGGCCACGGTGGTTCTACGTGTCTGCTAATGGGGGGGTGGGGGTGCGCACCATCTGGAAGGTGCCAACCAAGTCGATGGAGTCGAGATTGGGGGCGATGGCAGAAGAGTGGGTAAAGAGGGTGAAGGAGTGGAAAGAGAGAGAGAAGGCCAAATGGGACGAGCTTGTCCAACCGTCTGCCTTGTTTAAGGCGGGGCTGGGACCGCAGCAGAAGGGCGGAGACCTCGGCCGGACAGAATTGGAGGCGAGGAGAATAGCTCAGGAGGTAGAGGATCGGGCCATTTTGGCCAACGCCACGAAGTTGAAGGAAGCGCAAAGGGACCGACCGCCTCAACCGATCGCGCAGGAGAGGATCCGACCGCGCCCAAGGCCGTTGGGGGAAAAAGACTTAAGCAGTTTTGAGCCGCGGCCGCCTCCTGTAGACCCTGTAAAAGAGCAGGCTAGAAAAGAGGGGGAGGCTCTGAAAAAGAAGAAGAACAAGAGGAGTGCCCCAGAGGAAGTCGCAGATGAGTCTGGGGCCAAGAGGGCTAAGATGGCCCCAACTGAGGTGGAGGTCCCTGTGGCCAAGGACGCCCCAGAGGTAGTGGAGATCATCCCAACGGTGGAGGTTGTGGAGATTGCTCCAACAGTACAAGTGGAGGCTGGGACGACTGAGGCGGTGCCGAGCGGGAGGGAATAGGTCCAGAAGGGGCCTGACCCCCAGGAAGGAGGGGTTCGTCTGGCGACGGGGATCTATCATGCGCGCGCGGTAGCTGGAAGGTTGGAGGGAGAAGGAGGCCCAGCCAGGGCGGGGACAGACCGCCTGGTGAAGATTGTGGAAGAGACAGCTCTGCACGCGGCATCTGGATATAATAAGGCTGACCTGCTAAGGGGGTTATACTCCGCCCAAATGGAGGTAACTACCTTGGTAGGGGCCCTCCTTAGGAAGGCAGGGGCTGCCAAGTTAAAGGCTGAGGAGGCCAAGGCCCAGTTGGCCAAATTGAAGAAGGACAGTGCCGACTGGAAGACTGCCCATGCCGATCTGCCAGCAGTCAAGTTGGAGCTGGAGGACACACGCCGTAAGGTCGTGTCGCTCGAGTTCCAACTGGCTGGTGAACAAAAAAAGTTAGAAGAGTCTGAAAGGGCCTGCGCCGTGGCGGTCGAACGGCATGAAGAGGCCATGACCAGCAATGAAGAGCTGGTCAGGCAAAAGGATGAAGCAGATTCCAGAATTGGGGATCTGTTGAAGGAGTTGGGGGAGGAGCGTGCCAGAGCAGAGGAGGAGAAGGGGAGGCTTCTGAGGGAGTGGAAAATGGAGAAGGCGATGGTGGTGGCGGAGCTGGAGAGTCTGAAGAAGGGGGTGGAAGAGGAGAAGGCGACGGCGGCTGCTGAAAGGGGGGCCCTGCAAAGGGAGCTGGACGAGGACAGGGGGAAGGCGGCGTCTGAGATGGCGGCCTACCCTGATCTGTGCGTCGCAGCAGTGGAGCAATATAAAGGGTCCCCCGAATTTCAGATGGTGGTAGACGCCGCTGTCGCCAGGAGTCTGGCTGGGCAAGAGTCTGGGGGGGTGGGCCCATCAAGGAAGACTGCTGGAGAGCTTAGTTTTGATGATTTTCAGAAGGGAACGGTTGGTGACCTCAACTTGGCTGTTTGCTTGGGGGTGACCGGGGGAAGAGAAGCATGGTTGAATCTGGAGATCTGCACAAAATTTTCTGTACTTCGCGTTATCGAATTATTTTCCATTGTTAGAGATGATGGCTTGAAGGATGCCAAATCGGCAAATGATCGATTGCCAGATAAACCTGGTGGTGTTCCGCTCGGTGATTGTGGCAAGGGGTTCAGCCTCGACCCACTTGGTGAAGTAATCAATGGCGACAATCGCGAACTTGGTCTGGCCTCGACCGGTGAGAAGTGGACCAACCAGGTCGATTCCCCACTTGGCAAACGGATAAGGGCTGCAGAGTGTGATTAACTCTGTAGGAGGAGCATGGGGGATGTTGGCAAAGCGTTGACATTTATCGTATTTGAGCTCGAAGTCGGTTGCATCCTGATTAAGAGTTGGCCAAAAATACCTAGTACGGAGTATCTTCTGCGCAAGGGACCTGCCACCTGAGTGATTACCACAAATTCCCTCATGGATCTCCTGCATTACATAAGTTGCTTGAGCTGGATTGAGGCACCGTAGATATGGCCGGGAGAAACCGCGCTTGTACAATATACCGTCGACAATGACGTAATTGGACGCTCGGGATCGGACTTTGGCAGCCTGCTGCTGGTCTTTTTTTTCAATTTTCCAATTCAATCAAACATAACTTAGAATTCTAATCCTATCAATTATTTACCTTTTTCTTTCTATTTATCTCATCAAATCATCTGACTCTGTCTAAATATAAATTTGCCTCATTCTATGACCAGTTTATACCCATATCAATTATTTGAACCGTTTATCTCATATGACAAGTTTAAATACACAATTTTTTTGTACAGCACATGTCAAGCAATTATCCAGTTTAATTTTAAAATGCTCCCGAAGAAAAGTAAAAAACTTAAGTTTGAATTATTTGTCTTTCACTTGAAATTTATGAAAAAATGTTAGATATTTTTGAAATATCATATGAAATTGCCAATGTGGTACTCTTAGTCGATGAGAAACCACAATAAACATTAATGTGGTGTTTGGGTCATAAATTTTGATATAATTCGGAAATGAAAATAAAAAAAGGTTAGGGCAATATGAATGAAATATAAATTAAATTTTTATCATTTCTCTTTTCCAAATCTCTATTTAAATTCATGATCCAAACATAACATTGAATTATCATTTGTTTTATAACTTCTTAACAGAGGTGAATTTCCACCAATAAAAGTTTTGTTATTAATTGATTTGAAAAATCAATTTTACCGTTTGACCGACATAGTATGTATGTTATGCTTCTAGTATATTATTATTGTCTCGGCGTTGCTGTTGCGGAAACTTTTCTTGTGCTGCAGCTCATGCAATATAAGGGCACTCTAGTAGGGCATATAGTATAATACTTTTGATACAATTTGGCAGATGTATACTCTATAAAAAGTAAACATTAGAATTGATATTTATGTCATAGATTTTTTTATTTTTCTCTTAAAAATACCCACAAGAATTCTTATAACAGTACTTGTGGCATTATTTTAGTTATGCCCCAAATTTATCTATCTATTATATAAGAAAAATGAGGTTTCCAACTCACAAGTCTTGTGGGAGCTCTAATATCCAAATTTTAATTTTCTAATTTTTTGATTTAAAAAAAAAATCTTAGCATTTG